CGTACATATTACATATAGAAGCTATGGATATATTATTTTTTATGATGTGCAAACAGAATTCCTCAGGAACTAATACTCAATTCTTTCCATTTATTAATTTAATTTCTAGAACACTTCTATTCCAAGATTATATTTGTACCGAACAGAGTAGATTTTAAGTTGGTCAGAAAAATAACTTCTACTCCCTCCAATCCAAATTAATTGACACAACTTTAGTATAACTTTGTACGAAAGTTGTACTAAAGCTGCATTTGGATCGGAGGGAGTAGTTTAATTGGTGATTCACTTCATATACATTTAATTGGATTTTTTTACCAAGCAAATCAATCTTAGATGGGCATGCCTTACCAGACTCACTTGGCTCCTAAACACCTGCATTTTAACAAGACGTTGTATAACAATTAACCTGTCTATGCATGGATAGGTTGAAAGCATGGATGTAGATCAGAGAGTTCAATGGATGAAAGAAAATTCCAAGGAGACATATGAGGAAGCAAAAGAATGCATGAGAACAAACTACTATGGGGCAAAGCTTGTCACAGAGGCACTACTTCCTCTTCTTCAGTTGTCCTCCTCTGGGAGAATTGTCAATGTCTCATCAGGTTTTTCACTGCTAAGAGTAAGTATTGTTAACCATGTTGCAGGTCGTACAAGACAAATTACCAGTTTCACAAATTAGATTTAAACATTATCTGTGCCACAATATATATTTCCGCCATAACTTTCTCAATCACTTTGTTTTGTTTCGAGTTTTCGAAAAGTATCTATGCAGCCTTGCATTGTGTCTTCCAAGATATTATTATTTCCTGAGCAGAGAAATTCCTTATCCCTTATTGCAGTGTTTTTTTTTCCTGTCAGAAAGCATATGTTAAGAAACTAGTTCCTTTAAGTTAACAATAACTATTGTTTCCTGAGCAGAACTTCAACAGTGAAGAACTGAAGAATGAGTTTAACGACGTCGACAACCTTACTGAAAAGAGACTAGAGGAGCTGTTGGATTCATTCCTAGAAGATTTCAAGGCCAATTTGATAGAGGCACATGGGTGGCCGACCGGTGGCTCGTCAGCGTACAAAGTCGCCAAAGCTGCCCTCAATGCTTACACAAGGATTCTCGCCAAGAAGTACCCTAGGATGCGCATCAACTGTTTGACGCCTGGTTATGTCAAGAGCGACATGTCGATGCACATGGGAGTTTTGACGCCTGAGGAGGGCGCTAGCAACCCGGTGAAGGTCGCTCTCTTGCCCGACGATGGCCCGACGGGTGCTTATTTTGATAGGGATGGCGTGGCCTCGTTTGTGTGACTCTGTCGTACGTGTAATGGTTTCGTCCGGTTTTACTTTCAGAATATGAGACACCTGTAACTGTAGTTGTCAATAAACATTGTGCAGTTTAACCTGTGCTGTGCGCTCAAATGGACATGCGTGTGTGTATGATCCATATTGGTCGATGAGGTCTATCGATCATGTGGGTATGTGTAGGGTCAAACAACGGGACAACACACACACACGATGACGTATGAGTGTTGCTGGCAGGCAATAGGATGACGTATGGGTGTTGCTGGCTGATGGACATGCTTGGTTTGTTAACAAAATTAGCCAACCATCGTTTTGATGTGTGAATGTTTCGAACTTGCCAAATGTTGATCCTTTTGTGAGGTTGCTAAATCATGCTCGATGTTGTGCCGGACAAAGACGACGAGCACCACAACGGCGACCGAGGACCGGAGCCGTTATAAGTATCTCTCCTAACTCCCGTAACCGTCTCAGATAACTTAGGATTTTCGGTCTCAGATTGTGAGGAGCGGCTCATCGACCTCTGCCAACTGCCATCGCACTTGCTGTTGGAGCTCGTGGATTCGTGGTGCGCCCTCATGGAAGGGGCCATCCTCCCCAACCTGCCAAACACGAGGTTAGCTGCTCTTGTCGTCGCCATGTAGCCTTGCAACTTGCAGAAATCTCATCGATTGCGGTTGCTAGGGTCGCCGTCGTTACCGGAGGGAATAAGGGGATCGGCTTCGAGGTGTGCCGGCAGCTTGCCAGCGGAGGAATCTCCGTCGTCCTGACGGCCCGGGATGAGATGAGGGGCGGGGAGGCCGTCGAGAGGCTCAATGCGCTGGGGCTCTCTCATGTCGTCTTCCATCAGCTGGAGATCACGGACGCTTCGAGCGCCGCTGCGCTGGCTGGTTTTCTCAAGACCCGCTTTGGCAAACTAGATATTCTGGCAAGTTTTTTTCCTTTCATTTTAGTATACTAGAACAACGCCGGTGCGTTGCAACGGAATATAAATATTGTAGTACGGTTCGATTCTGTAAAAAAATGTTTATCAAATTATACCCGTGAATTATCTTATATTTTGATTAAAAGTTTGATAAGTAAATTAAAGTAAAATTGGTTATAAGTAAATTAAGGTAATTGATTATCATATATACTCCTACATAAAAGGTTGGATGAGGAGTTATCAAAACAAAGATGAAATGAGAACCTTACGTTCTTTTTGCGTAGTAGAGACTACAGCTGCTAGTTGCATCCAAGGTTTGAATCATCGGTGATGGATGGATGTGGTCGGATGATTTGCAGGTGAATAATGCCGCGGTTGGTGGGGTTGAGTACGGCCAGGAGTTCGATACCAACGAGGAAAAGGTGAGATCACGTTGTTGTTTTTTCTGGTTGGGTTTTTGTAATTTACTCCTGGAGGAACCAAGCCAAGAACCGATGATAGGCGTCAAGCACAGCGACCAATTTTGCCTGATAGGTTCATTCGGTAAAATCGGCGCGACTTCTTTCTGAAATTGTTCGGTTCAGACACACCAGCTTGAACAAGTTTATTTGCCGATGCATAATACAACAGTTCAGTGGCCTGGATTTCCACGAGAGAGTTGAGTGGATGTTGAAGAATGCTCGGGAGCCCATCGACAGCGCGAAGAACAGCGTGAAGACGAACTACTACGGCACGAAGCATGTAATCGAAGCCCTGCTGCCTCTGCTTCAAGCTTCCTCCGAGGGAAGAATCGTGAACGTCTCCTCCAATTATGGACTCCTAAGAGTAAGTAAACTCTTAATTTTTTTCACTGATCATTGTTAACCCAGTATCAGTACCACATGTACCGTAAGGGATTCCGTGGCATTATTTGCAGCATATCGGCAGCGAGGAGGTGAGGCAGGAGCTCAACGATGTCGATAACCTGACAGAGGGGAGGCTGGACGATCTCCTGGAGAAGTTCATCAAAGACTTCAAGGCCGGCGAGTTGGAGATGCACGGGTGGTCTACGAAGTTCTCGGCGTACAAGGTGGCCAAGGCCGCCATGAACGCCTACTCAAGGATCCTGGCGCAGGGCCGGGCCGGAAAAATTCAAGGCCCTGTGCCAAACCCTAAAATTGCTCGCTAAAAAAAATACATAAATGGAGTATAACTATAATAATATGAAAATCATAATATCTTACATAATAGTGGGAAATACCAAGAATCATACCTATTTTTGGTTTTATAGTCTTCACTTAAACAACAACATTCTTTTAGTGTTCTTCAATACTTCACTCTCGAAAGCAATTGAGACGGTGAGACCGTGTTAAAATGTTAACTTTTTTTGTTTCTTTAAACACATTTTGTGACCAGATTCATGTTTTCTAAATGAACACATGGCTTGTATCTAGCGATATTAAACACCTGATAGATGAAAACAATAAAATTAGTTGCAATATTTTAGCAAAACTATATAGGAGGAAAAAAAATCGAAACTCACAGCTAAAAGGGCTCACGGGATCACTGGTTATCAACGCTACGATGCTTAAAAATTAGAGATGTTGCGACCTTTCCCTGCCTTCCTGCCGGTTGCCGTCTCGTTGGCCGATGGTCTGGCCGCCGCACGAATAAAGGAAGGGATGCTTCGCTCGCTCCTCTCGATCGCTGGACCCTGATGCTAGGAGGCGTCACAAACTCGAGATTTGGGCCTGCTTCAGGCGCGGGCGCGAGGATAGCAGCCCAGAGCCAGATAGAAGGGGCCCATTTATAAATAATAAAAGCCTAGCTCAAAAATCTGAGGCCCCTGAAAGCTAGGGGCCCTGTGCGGGGGCACAGGTTGCACCCCCTTGGGCTCGGGGCTGTCCTGGCGAGGAGGCACCCTGAGCTGCACGTCAACTGCGCGCATCCAGGCTTCGTCAAGACCGACATGAGCATGGGGTCCGGGGTCCTGACGCCGGAGGAGGGCGCACGCAACTTGGTGAAGGTGGCGCTGCTGCCTGACGGCGGGCCGACTGGCGCGTATTTCGCCATGGGCGAGGAGGCGCCGTTCGTGTGAGATACCGGCGGCACGTGCGTGCGTGCCGTACACTTACTGATGCGTTACGTGCTAGTTTGAGATTGCGAATAATTAAGACGTGTCATTTATCTTTTTTCGACAAAGTGTGAGTTTTATTGACCCAATATTGTTGACGAATGATTGTGTTTGTTCCATATATACACCAATAATTCGTGCCGTAGTTGTCCTGCTTGTTTCCAAGTTTGTACTTTGTAATTAGGGTTCTCGCCGTGGATGAAACTAGGGTTAATTATCCTTTTGCCCTCAGTGGTGTCCATGTGCTCAGTTTTGCCCTCAGATGCAAATTGTCCTCAGTTTTGCCCCTAGTCCGAGCACAACAACTACGACGAGGCCAAACGACCATATTTGAGTCCATTCCGTCCGCCGGCGTTAGTAGTTGTGGGTCCGGAGCTTACACGTGGGACCGCGTGGACGTGGGTCCGGAGCTGACATGTAGGCCCCTGCAACTAAATCCCCAAATCATTCTAGCTCACACCCATCCGCCCGGCCGGCTGTCCTGCGCCGCCGCCGCCGCCACCTGCGCCGCGGCCAGCACCTGCCCCGCCACCAGTTGCACGGCCTGCTCCGCCGCTACCTCCCTGCGCCTACGCTCCACGGCTCATTGTGACGCCCACCACCTTCCTGCGACGCCACGGGTGGGGCGCCCGCCACCTGCTCGATTCGCGGCGCGGCCTCCTTCCGTGCGCCCGGCAGGAGCGCTCAAAGGTGGGGGGCTGCTGGAGCTATTTGAACTAGGAGGAAGAACCCTAGGGCGAAATGGTGAGCAGCGGCGACCCCGGAGTATTTGGCGAGGCAGGCATCGGGCCGGAGATCCGCCGCGTCCACGACTGGGTTCCCGAGGGGTAAGTCTCGCCTCTTGTTTAGATTGAGCTTAGTTGTGCATTTGAACACTCGATTCGAGTAGGTTTGCCCAATTAGTGTGCTGATTGCGTCTCTGTTTTTCGCCTATTAGGATGGAGTTCCGGTTTGCTTTCATGGTGCACATTAGAAGGGACCGGTACATGTTCAATGCAAATGATAAGAAGAAATACCAAGGAGGTTTTGATTATCAGTTGCCAATGGCTAGTAATTGGAGTTTCAGACAATTTGGGGAGGTAATTTGTAGCCAATATCCTTGGGGTTTGCTTGATGAAGTGGTATACAAATACTATGATGGGGAAAAGAATTGGGTGACAGTTAGTAATGATGAAGAGCTAGCTACCATGTTTGTTAGGCATAAAGAGAAAGATAATTTTCATGTGAGGCTGCAAGTTGATGTGCTTGAGCAGGCATTTGGACCTAGGATGGCGGGTGCAACATCTCGGGGAGAATCAAGTCGTCGTAATGGCATCTCTAGCCAGAACAGTTCAGTTGGTGCACGGCGATGTGGTGGCTCGACAAGTGTGGGCAACAGCAGTAGGGTCCCCCTTGAAGTGGAGCCTGATGGCTACAATTCTGGGGTTGATGAAGAGAAGTTATATTCTGATGTTATTCAGAATTTACGACGGGCACCTCGGGCTGAAAACCAAGATGAGGCTCACAATACAGTCCGTGTGGATGATGACGCGATGGGTGAGGACGAAGACCTTGCAGCTGTTGAATGGGACCCTTTGAACCCTCAAATGGAAGAAGGTACAGTTTTTGCATCCATGAATGAGTGTAGAAATGCACTTGTGACATACTACATCAAGGTAGAACGTACTTTCAAAGTTGACAAGAGCGATCAAGTACGTTACAGAGTGCACTGTCCGACTGAGGGTTGTCCATGGAGGCTGCTTGCAGCTAAAATGCGGAATAGAACTAATGTTCAGGTCAAAGTGAATCCTTTTAAGCACACATGCCAGGAATCAACCCTTAGGAAGGATACAATCAGTAGAGCCAAGTCAAGATGGATGGCAGAAGAAGTAAAAAAGTGGGTGAAAGAAAACCAGCAAGTGGGTCCAAAGGAATTGCAGAAGAACATCAAAGATAAGTTCAAGATAGATTTACCATACATGAGGTTGTTCA